GTTCTCTTTTAAGTTGGCGATTGGACAACTAATTCTCTTGGGCGGTGGTTACATCCCATTATTCCAAACGTTTCTTCGAGAGCGTGAACCAAAGGTCTGGATGTAAGTCGGGGCTTCATTCGCGTTATGTCAAGACTTATGTCCAACCACTACTCGCTAGAGGCACCTCTCTACAGAATAAATCTCGTTGACAGCAATATATGTAGGCCCAGAACCGGTTATGATGACATCGATCACGCATCGTATTGCTCGGGTAATGACGCCTCCAGAGCACGACTGTTGAATACCCTAATGGCCCGAGGTAGACAACCCTTCCGTGAAGTAAGAGATGTATTGGGAACCCGTGATCGTCCCTACATGCAGGCGATCTACGATTTTTTTTTTGTTTGTCTGATGTTAGAGTTTGATGTGATCATCCCCTCCTTTCCAAACAATTTCCAGCCATTGGTGTCCCAGTCTTATTATCCTCCTATTTCTGTGTTACTTGCCCCTGCCCAGCCAGGATTTGGTCAACCGTCCGAGAGTAGTATCTGAAGGAGGCTTCAGAAACCAGTTTCCTACCTAGCTCCTTCCAATCGAAATTGTTACCCATTAACTTCGAGCCCACCACGAGTAATTGGTACCCAATACTAGCCTAGAACTACTACTGTTTAAAATGTAAATTCAAACATAACTAATTTTTGGCTCCGCAAAGTGTCACACACGACTGAGCCTATATAAATATTTCAAGATAGATAATTAAAATAGAGAAAGTAAATTCCTAGACCTGATGATATTCTTATGATTCTGGTAGTAATGTATAAAGATTATTGGCATTGTGGAGGAACCCGAACAATCTAACCACATTCGATAAGCATAATGCCATGTCGTTCAATGGCTTAATGCTCAACACCAAAAACAGACTACGTCCTTGGGTGTGATATCAATCACATCTGAAAATAATAAATTCATGGGATTTAGTTCGTTCGTAGTTCTTCTTCTTATTCGCATTTCAAGCTTATTGCATATCGCATATTAGCTTATTGCATGTTCTCAACTTAGTGTTCTAGATGCACTTCCACAGTTATTAATTGAGAGCTTTCGATGCCTGTACCATTTTTGCATTGATGTGATTGTGTGGCAAGTCCAATCATACTTCTATGCCCAGGGAAGTCGAGAAATTTTCCAACCCGACAAATTCCTAGACCGAACCGGGAATCGAACCCAGCCACCTCCAGCATGGTCTTGCTTTGTAGCTGCGCCTTTACCTACTGAGCTAAGGGAGGCCCGTAGTTAAAGAAGATCAATACTATTATTCTAAAAGAACAGCTCATGAGAAAAAGAATGGTAAATTTTCCCAACAAACAATTCAAAGTCACAAATAAGCATACACATTGAATAAATGCTGTATGACAGTGTACAATGCAGAATAAAACAGGATGTCGAATTATGTGCTGAAAAAAGCTCATTGAGATCGGTAGATGCGCCTTTATTCCGCCGGTTGCTTTGATATGATCAATTGACTTATTAAAAGCTTTATAAACGTTGACTGTCTTTCTGATTCAGAACCAGAAGTTTGATCTTATAACAAACTGAATAAGTGTAATTTGCACATACATTGACGCTTTAAATCGACTGTTTTCAATTGATTTAATAAAATAATCCATTAGACGTCTTATAAATGTTTTGTAGCTCCTTTACTTATTAAATTTCATTGCATTGCTTTACACTATTGCTGTATAAAGGTGAATACAGTCAGTAAAATAGCTCTTATACCACTATGCGTCCATGTTTTAATTGCATGCTTTGTAAATGCTTTATAAACGACGTATTAGATTCATTATTCCACAACACTGGTTTAGTCTAACAGCAAGACGAAATCAGTAGAGTAGAGTTGTATCCAAGGAAATATTGATTGAAAATCGAAGATTGTAAAAAACAAGCAAACTAATTGTAACATGGCGGTGGCATAAAAGTTAATTTTCATGGGTCATTTGCGAAAAAGTTGTTTTGCTTTCAAGAAATCGTTAACAAATTCATAAGGTTTTAAAATGGCTTTTATGAAGAAAACTTGCAGGCTGAATTGTATTTATCCAAAGTCATTTTGCTTGATCCTAACCCATTCAGATTTATGGCAGCTTTTATGAAGGCAAAGTTGCCTACAAAAAGTTAAACGTCAAAGTTTGTTTATCTTTCGATAGTTGCGCTGTGGGATCCAGGGTTCTTCCAGGCGGTTTCCTCCCGATGGATTGTGAGCAGTTAGTCAGATAGTTTGCGAAACTGTTTTACAACATTTCGCATTTCGAACAGCTGAAAGCGCAATCGTTCCCGAAAAAGATCCCCTTCTTCCGGATGGTTTCAGAAGTGCACCATCCAACGACGCAGGGATATACGCTTGAATGCAATTTTCGAAGATTTGATTCTTTCGCCGAATAAAATCGCTGGATCGGAAACCCGCTTATCTCCGCTAACTAACAGTTTCAGTGGTTTGCTGTCGGTTGTTATTTCGACTGCCATCTATTCGAACGATCTGGAGAAGGCTGGTATGCTTTTAAACTTTCGACAATGTTTTATGAATTTGGGGGCCACGCTAACTTTACTCTTCTCCGCCAGATGGTCAGGCATTGATGGTGTGCTGGTTCTTCTAAAGAAGTTAATTTTTCTGAAATCGACTTGAATTTGTCATTCTATTTCGTCTATCCTTCGAAATTTACTTGTCATAAATTTGGCTTTTATTAACGATGAGGAACCATCTTTTAAGCTCAATTTGTAAACAGAGGAATTGGTGAGTTTATGATGCACTTTAAAAAGCCTAAAAAGCAGCAATAAATGCTTTTTGCCCTAATGCAAAACCCAATGTTTCTATGGCTGCTTTTATAATAAAAGAACACGTTTATGAAGTATTTTATCAAGACATTAATAAACATTTGCTATTGACGTTTATGCTTGAATTACAGAACAGTTTTAAGGAGGGATTGAGAACAATTTTAAATTTATTTTTAAAACAAGACAGTTTTTGACTTTCTTGCCGGATTATAAAAGTTTTTTAAAACAAAAATTGCCGTTTTAAAACCATCATTAATTAGAGTGGATGCCAAATGGTTACTGAATTGTTACTTGGGTGGTTACCGTTTCCGCTTTCCAAGTAGAAGGTCGCGAGTTCAATCCTTAGCTCAACCCTTTTTCTGTTCTAAATCTTAATCATCAATCACATCATTCACGACAACAAATTCACTGATTTAGTTTAATGGATAACCCAGCATCACATAACAGAAGGGGAAGTTCAAACAAATCGGTGAATCAAAAAGTGGTACGTTTGTCTGCTCAACAAGCGATGCGTTGTGGTAGCGTTCCACACGGGCTTTCTATTCGCACTCACACTATATAGCATGCTGCCCACTTAACTGCAGGCAGAAGATGCCTTCTAACGCTAGGTGTGCTAGTGTTCTCCAATGAAAACTGGAGCCACTTTCTGATCCGAAGTTCCACTTTTGTTCTGTCCCAGCATCCTTTCCTTGGAAATTGGAGAGGTGAAGATGTAGAATTGGTCTCATGTAAAACAACTATGAATGAAGCAATCATTCCCACTGGACCTTGGGACGATCGGGAGTGCTGATAGGTATTCAGTTTCAAGCAAGCTTTTATTGAATATTGAGCAGCCCATATGATGTATTCTAGGATAGCTCAGTACAAGTATTATTGGGTATGCAGTTGAATAAAATCGTCAACAAGTCGTTTCTTCAATAGGCGATTGTTTGTTGGCTTGTCATTTGGTCAAATGACCCATCATAAAAAATCGCTTATATCAAAACCCAAGTAAGCATTTGCCTCTCATCTGAAAATAACAGAAATCATAAATGTACAAAGAAGATTTAGATTATTTGCAAAGAAAAGCTCATGAGAAAAAGAATAGAACATTTTTTAATTCTAAATATAAATATGAATTATGCCTATCGTCCATTATGCCTAACGTTCATTATGCCAACCATCCATTATGTCTATCGTATTTATGCCTAACGTCATGCACCCATATTCTACTATCAAAGATACCCCATTTTACGGTACCATTTTTCCTGCCTTCATGCGAAAGACGAAGTAATTCAAATAACGGTTCAGTGTGTTATGGTGAATTTTAAATTCTTACGAGGAACTTAGAATCAAGAAGCAGAGGTATATGTTTCATAAAATTTTATCAATTTGACACTTATTATGGAAGTCACTTTAAGTAGAAACTTTGTTTTACCAACCCGTTAAAACATAAAAGTTAAGTGCTGATTTTATTTACTATGACGGAAATTTAATCTTACCAAGGTGGTTAAAATTTTCATTTTAATCAATTATACTAAATTATACCAAATCAGGTCTTAATTATACTGCATTTTGTTTAGCTTATTTTATTACGATCCCATACTGCACTGTTGCTTGGAAGTTAGGGAATTTTCCTAGTTGAGTCCTTTTTCTTCAAAAGCCAAATTCTCAAGATTAACGAGGTTTTTAAATCTGTAAATTTGAGACATTGTTTGCTTCTCCTCAAACTACAAACAACAAGCATTCAACAACAAGTTGATTCAGCTACGTCCACTTATAAAAACCTTCATATTTTGACTTGCGAAATTGCGAAATTTGCAATGCACGCGAAAAAGGACGCTTCAAAGAATCCTTTTAAATGGGATTTTCCCATGGCAAAATTGAACTTTTAATTTCTATCGTCCTAGTGTTTAATTAAACGCTAATTTTATGATCGTCTAAACAAATAGGAAGAACATGTCAAAAATTGGGACGTGGTGTACAGAAAGTATATTCCTATAGAAATTTCCAAATAAAGTGCAGTAAGCGGTCCCAACCAAATGAGCTCGCATTTTGGGAGATGATTAGAACCTGACAAATTTGAACCACCCTTATTCATTCCTACTAAATACTAATACGCTTTTGAACGTCTTATTATATCTCGCCACTATACCCATTTTTCCGGGTTTATTCACTATATCCAATTCCCCCCAGATCACCCCGCGGATATTTACACGGTAGTATTGGAGCACGGCTCAGCAGCTTCCGCAGCATCCCAGAAGAGCACCGTGCACAGCCCCACAGCGGCGATAATCTTCAAGTAGAGCATCACGACTGTCTTCGTCACTTTCGCCCGCTCGGAGTCACGGCAAAGTCTTCGAACTTCGATCACTTGTTTCTGCTTTTTTTTTTCGCTATCACTTAACTTCCCACTTCTATTTCCAACCACCGTTTCAGCACATATCACTCAACCGGAAAAAAAGAGTCGATCGCCGTCGCGTCGCGCGTTTTGATCCGCGTCTGTCACGGGCGTTGATTGCGTTCTGACTGACTGAAGAGTTCGATCAAGTTCAATCCGAGGCGCTTCCCTCGATCAGGATCCGGCTTGCCTGTGTCTTCCGTTCTCGTCCGGTGTAGTTGTTCCCTGCTACTACGACTGCTGATTGATATTCTGTGCCAGCCCAATCGTTTCTGTGCGTATGCATATGTCCGTTCTCTAGCAGTCAGCGGTCGGCCACCCAATCGCACTGGCTTGTAATAGTGTACACACGCTCACATCAAGTGGTAGAAGCGATTATGTTGCTCGGGGGGGCCTCCAAAGTAGTTGTTGCTGAGAGTCATTTGTTTATGAGCACGCTGCACTGCAATATGACATGCTAGAATGTCGAAAGTTATCAATATGCACAACTCCAACTCCCGGGCGATGCTTGTAATCTAGAAATTGAAGAACGAGAGGCTATCAAAAGAAAAGACAAAAATTTGAATGAGCTCCGTGCCCGCAAAGTACTCAAGAGTTGGGAAACGTAGAACGGAACAATCCAAAAGTGGCCATGGCTTGGAACTCACAGAACGAGCTGCGAAAAGGGATGGCAATCCGCAGCAATAGAGTGTGTTAATTGACACCAAGAAGGAACACCCCAAACTTTGTTAATGCTAACGATTATTGTTTGTCCGCTATTAAATGGGCGAGGAAAGCGTTTCGTTTAATTCTTTTGGAGTTAATTTTCGGTTTAAAGTAGATGACGCCGGCCCGTAGAAGGCATGCAAGACGGTGGCGACAGACCAACAACGACGGTTGACACCATTGATTAGAATCATTACGCATTCTGGGCACGTCAATTTGCCTCGTCTTTGTGGGTAAGTCCTAATTGGCGGTGGATGGCAACGGAAAAAAAATCTATCCGTAGATCGGAGGAATGCGGTACGAATAAAGGGTCATCCCAATACTGGTCTGGTGTGAAGAATCGTTCGAACGCTACCGCAGGATGCCCGATAAGGATAATACATCCGATTGTTGCAAGTTCACTGGCGGCGTGCATTGCAATCACCTATTGCTTGGCTTGCAATACAAATATGTATGCGAGAAAGCAAAAATCCCACACAAAACTCAATCATATAAGGGGTAGCAGTGCTTATCAGTTATATATCGTTACCATTTGAGTAAAAATAGCTGCCATCGAAGTAAACCACGTTGTTTTGCATCTGATGAGTCACTCAAATTGTTCTGGAATATGTGCTTGAGCGAATGTGCGAATTCAAGCATGCTTTTGGAGCAATCCCAAAAAAATAAATCCAGGAATTGTTTACTGAATTACAGAATGCGCTGATAAAAAGTGATTCAACAGTTTAGTTGCGTCAGCAGTATGATTTACGTTTATCGTTTTTTAACTGGATAAGGTATATGTGTATAGTTTTCGCTGGGATGTTTACATGTTTACAACTTGAATCCAGAGAACTTCCGGTGATTTCCTAGAGGACGGGGAAGAGTAGTCCATAGTAATTCCAATTTAATACTAGAAGATCTTTAGGGTACTGTTGACTGAAGACTTCCCGGAAAATCAAGATGAGCTCATGGCTAGGCCCCAATCGTTTCTAGTGTATGTTCAGAGAACTTCCAATGATATTCTAGAGTATTGTCTGGGTATGTATTGCAGTATTAGTTCTTTGCACCTTGAATTGCAGTTCAATTATACAAGCATAGTTTACAGAAAACATGAACACTTCTCATACGCTCGCCACATAATTCGCATGTAACCCAACCTACGTACAAACGTGACAAGTCCGAAGTAATTGCTTCCTTATTTCTTTCGTTCATAGTGAAACGTGGGGTAATACGCAGCCCCTAAGGAAATGATCGATTTTCACTACAGTAAAACGGGGTAAAGTTGATCACTACTTTTTGATTCACGGTTTAGCGACTTTGCAGTCAATTTAATTGTTTATAGGAAAGTTTGAACATACTGAGAGGTAAGCACCGGTGCCCTTAGATTTTTTCGCAAATTTTCTCACACACACGTCTCTTACCGATGATATGTGCTTACCTCTCAGTATGTTCAAACTTTCCTATAAAGTTGATCACTACACCATTTAATTTTCGTTTCTCAACAATCATTTTTCATGATATTATTATAAGATAATTTGTGTAGTATTCCATTAGGTAGTTTTAAATAGTAATTTTGAAACGTTTTCGCTAACAAACGATGCATTCTAATACTCAAAATGTACAATTTCGTGGAAGTGATGACCTATACAACTTTTAACTGTTCCTAAACATCCCGTCAGAATCAACATATATTCTGGTGCTGTGTTTGGTGAAATTACTCTGAATCTGAACTCAGATTTTCAAGGCTGTTACAAGATTTTCAAAATATGATCCACGAAATCTGCGATTTCTCAAAAGAAATACACGACTTCAAATATTAATCCACGATAAATAAAAAACTTGTTTTTATGGCATTTAAAACTTATTGCTTATAGCATCAAACTTATTTCTTATAGCATATTAGCTTTTTGTCTGTCAACTTAGTGTTCTTTGAAACAATTTCACATTTTAATTAAGAGATTTCTATGTCTGTATCATCCTCTGTCCAAGGAAGTCGAGAAACCCGAAAAATGTATAGTTATGACGGGAATCGAACCCAGCCGCCTCCTGCATGGACTTGCATAGAGCTGCCATTTTGTACCATTTGAAAAAAATAAATTCAATGTAGGTATCATTTTCAGTTATTTATGTTCTTGGTAGTATAAATTCTGAGTATTTAATGAACGTAATAATACACTCTTACATCATAACATTTTATTGAATAAAAGAGACCTAGATTTTCTGATATGTTATTTAAAAAAAAAAATAATGTATTTTCATTTGAAATTGAGATTTAATTTTTAAGGACAATAATACTGAAAATAATTCTTTTTATAAGTATTCCAAAAGAGTTGTAAGGAAAATTTTAAGGAAATGCCAAGAAAAATTCCTAGGGAATTGAATTCTGAATACCAAGGACAGTTTGAGGAAATTTTTTGAGGGATTCTGAGTCAGCCAAGGATATTCCGGTGTTAATTTTAGAAAATTCAAAAGAGAGTTTCAAGAAAATTCAGAAGAGAGTTTCAAGGAATTTTGCGCAGAACTAAAAAGGATTCCTATGGTAATTCCATGGAAATTTCAGGAAAATAATAAAATGCATGCTGAGGAGAACTCCCAAATGATTTTTTAGGAGTATTTTTCGGGGAATTGCTCGAATTATTAATAATATGAAGATCATTGCATCAGTCCGTATCGTACTCTCTTGCCGTGTGGATCTATTTGCTTTTTGCTGAAGGAAGTGTTACTGCCACTTAAAGCTACAACAAATTTAAAAAACACTTTTCAGTGCTCAATATTACCTGCAAATTTTCTACCTTGTTCGACTCTTAAATATTCCTCTTAGATCCTTGTTTGGACCCTACCCGAAGTAATCCTGCTTGGACATAGACTTGGAAAATTTTTCTTCGATCTTTCAGATTCTGATAGTAATCCGCTTGGAAATCGATTTGGAGAAACGTTTTACCGCCGCCATGGCGCCCAAATGCAAAAGAAAGGGCAATCTTTTGACCCCCCTCTGATGACATTTATTTGAGAAATCAATTTGATATGTTCACGGATAATGATAATGATCCATCATCCAGGCAAAATTCGATTATACATTCCCGGCTCAATGCCAAGAAGGATAAGGTCCCCCTATTGTGATAACCATTTCCGATTTCCATGCTCTTCGCACGGAACATTTCAAGTTATCAAAATGAAAATGCAATCCCGTCCTGACGATTTGCGCAACGTGATTCAGACTTCAAGTGTAGTGAACTAAACAACCTTAAGGTCTTAGAAAAAGCTAGCCTTATGCTTCATGTCCGAGTGAAGTGGGAACACTTCAGGAAGACTGGAGGAAATTTCTAAAACCTCACCCAGTGCCGTAAGTGCCAGGAATGGGGTTACGGAACAAAAAATTGTTACATGCTAGCAAAATGCATGAATTGTGGAGATTCCCCTCACGTAAAGGACGACTGTTCTGTGAAGGAAGATCATAACAAATTTAAATTTTAAAATTGTGGTGAAAACCACAAATCCAAAGCGCAAAACGATCCTACAATCTCGTTCTAAGCGCCAGGTAGGACACAATCCACGTTCCCGGTCAAGTACTAATTTCTCTGCTGTTAACAACGGTCAGCGAGGAACAAATTCTACATTCGTACCCGTAGGTACAAATTCTTCATCTATACCTGGTGTTAACAATGTTCAGCAAGTGGAGCAACCTATGTTGCTATTGCAGCTGGTACAAATCGAATTCAATATTCTAGCCATCATAATTCTAACGGATTTTGACTTAGGAAGCATCACTGCTCTTAAAATGGAATTTTCACCGAAATCATTGATCGACATCATTACTGGTATGCTGAAAACTTACACCATGTTTAATGCTATTCAAAATGGAGTAAAATTGAACAATATCGTCATGACTTTGAAATTCAGTAATGGACTTTAAATCATTAAATATTTTGATTTGGAATGCTCGATCTATTGAAGATAATGAAGACGAGCTATTTAACTTTTCAAGTGTTCATAACTAGCATATCACTGTTATAACTGAAACGTTCCTTAAACCTGACCATAAGGTTAAAGAACACGTGATCCTGCCAAGAAAGTTATCTGGTGAGATTTGCAATAACAAATTAAAACGCGATTTGCTGCCCTGAGGAACAAAACTACACCGGTGTAGTGTAAGCAGCAATAAGCGCGAGTCATTGACAGCTGATCAACATTTGTTTGTAAACAAAGGTGCAACCGATAGCTACACCCTGAATTTTTTCGGTATTACACCGCAAAAACGAAAACGACAAAAGATAGAGCGATCGCTCTTCTTATTCTTCATCTTCACATTTCAAGCTTATCGATTTCAGATTTTCAAAATTGTTTATTTCGTCAACCAACGTAGACTAGTACAAATCCCTAAACCTTCATCATTCTTTACCATTTTTTGCATAGGCTCATATTTTGGGGCTATGAATCAATGTTGGGAAGGTGAGGATCGAAGTGCTGCTGAATTTCCGTTTTAATATTTTTTCTACGTGATTTTCTCGTGAAAAGTTAAATTTTAAATTGTAAAAATTGCGAAGTGGAACTGTTAGTGGATTGCGTAACTATGACCAAATGGATGTCCATTCGTTTTCGTTGCTTTAGCAATTGGCAATGGCAAATTGTGGAGTTTTATGTATGAGAG